TCGGCCCTACCGACCTTCCTGTGCGATTAGTTCAGTTAATTTTCGCTGTTAAGGGCTCTAATTGATCCCCCGAGGCGCTCCCGAGGCATTTAAGATGTTACCGTGTGTGTTATCGGACGCGAGGAGCTTAAAGCGAACAACAATCCTCGACAGGATGGCGAAGTGGAACGTTCTCGCGTGAACGTTGTTTGGGAATTCGACGCGGCTTTGACATTATCAGTTTGACACTATTACGTCTCGCTGCAACGAGAATGAGGCGAGGATCCTCGCTGGCAGATTTCTGGTGGTGTCTTTTCTCGTCTCAGGTTTAGCGCGCGATATAAGTTTCATCGTCAACGTTAATTCATAATGCGCTCGCATTATGTATACGTAACAACGTAAGCCGAGGAAAGGCAGATCGTTGCTCTGCTGCGGCTTCGCGCCAACTGAAACGTGAATTAAGCACCTTCGCAGCGCTGGTAAATGCGAAATTGTGACACCGGCGTATCGTCAATCACGATCGTTGCCGTTCCTCGCGACTTCGACATCCGCCTCTAATTATAGCTAATTGTATCCGACGAGAAAAGATTGCCGATGGACGCGCATGGTCGATACATCGAAACGCACGCCTGGCAATTCCGAGTCTAATTTAAACGCGCTCCTCGCTGCATTTTACTCGGTTGATAAACGGCTTTCGCGCTTTATGTTGAACGAGGTTGGAACCGGAGTTGTAAACACATCAATTACATTTTTCTCCATTTAATAATCGATTTCTCAACAAATGTGCACTCCAATTCAGCTAATTGACGATTGATTTTCCGGATAATCGCGTTTGACGATAATGCACCTAGATGTTCCTTAATTAATTAACTAAAAAATGGTAAAATTGGTGGTTGTTTTGCAAAATGGTAGAAGACTTTCAGTTCAGTTTGATCTAATCCACATACACACACATGAGATATAAGAAACTATAGTCAGACACTCTGTACACATGTCAGCAGTGGCTTTCAATTCTGACAACTTCAAGCGTTGCAATTTCATTCAATAAAAGGTGTGCAGACCCTTCAGCAAGTGTACATTCGATTTCGGATTTCGAAGGAGTGGACGTGCGCGGATTAGCGCTTTTTACGGCAAATAGTAAGACGACTTAGCTATCCATTGTGTTGGAGGATTCTCTCTGTCTCTCTCTCTGGCTCTTTCTTTCTCTCACTTTCTTTCTTTCTCTCTATCTCTTAATATCATTACCTCGCGTCGCACTGCGTCAATGTGATATTGGCGGACTTTCAAGCACTTCGATTGCGACGGCCCTCCGCGAGTCGAAGCGACGAGGGCTGAATGCGACTCAAATCTGATTACGCGTCTCTGAAAAGCGTGTCGCGCAGCTTTTATTTTATCGTGAGTGCGGGTTGGGTGCGCGTTACCAGCAACGAACAAAGACTCGGGCTTCAGTCGAATTATCGGACGAGTTATTTGGCTAACGACTGGCGAACTGAAACACAGCCGGCTAATTGAAAATTAAGTGACTGAGTCTCCCGCGGCGATTTACTCACGAATAGACCCGCAAGACTCGCGGCGTTTTTAGCGTTATCGATGGATTTCCTCGCCAATTCGGAACGTTCGCCGAATTAAGACCCGGAGGGGAGATATTCGGGGATAACTCCTCTGATTCTCCCTGACCCGATGCACCGAGGAAAGCTCGTTGGCGTGTGTGCACGAAAGTCCCGATTGCGCTTTTAAGTGGCCTCGGAAGCCGCTCTTTCCGCGGTGCACTCGTTCGTTTCGTCGATCACGATGCGAACCGCACGGAAACAATAGGAAATAGCGTGTGTGTGAACGAAGACGACTGTCGCGATCGAGGGCGAACACGCGATTCATCACTTTGTCACGACGATATGTCGCTTTTCGCGAAGTGACACCTCGTTCGAGCGATCGCTCTTCGCGCTCCCGATATCGATTTTAATCGGCTGCCTGGATATCATTCCGCTAATAGTGCCGTGTGTTATACCGTATTCGCGATCGTTATCATTACGACCCGCGGCCGTAATGTCGTATGTCATCGTCAGTTCGCCACGTTCGCGAACACCTTGTCACTATTGAGAATTGCAGGAAATGTTGCATAATAAATACGGCTTATTGTGAGCGATATGCCGCCGGGAAAGCGCGGAGGACGCTTTTCAGCGTTTTTTTAGCGCGGAGACGCGGAGATGAGAGGAGGAGGGGGCCGTGTCATCCGACGTTACAGCATTACTAATTAAGGCCATCACATAAAAAATTCCGTAAGAACTTAAAACGTAAGCGTAAAGAAATCGACTAATCCCAATCGAGCACTCGGCTCTTCGTAACCCCTCCATTATTACGAAGAGCCGAATACTCGATTGGTCGATTTCCTTACGCTTGCGATTTAAGTTCTTACGGAATTCTGTGTGTGATGGCCTTTACAATTGTAACTGGTGTTATCGCGAGCCTGTTCAGCACGACACGTAAGAAGCTCCAGCGAATATCTCGAGTCCTGAAACTGAGGAGAAAACCCGAATGTTAATGAACAGATGTTCCGTTCAAGCGACACATCCGATCAAGCTGATCGGAATGTATATCCGTTTGTTTAATCTCGATCGGATCGCGTGGGACTTTCCTCTCACTGTAGAAATCCCGCGTGACATTTTTTGTGCGACATCCTTACGATAAATTGTTGCAACATTACATTGACTACGTTTACACGGCAATGTTAATCCGGCTTAGTAGCGGCCGTAGTTAGTGAATTCTTGGATTTTATTGATATATTCTTTTAGATCTAAAAATGAATTCCAGTCGGACTCGAGAATTCATTAACTACGTTACAGTTACTAATCCGGATTAACGTTGCCACGTAAACGTAGTCATTGATTACAACTGCAATTGGTGTTATCTCGATTCTACTCGCCACGAAGAGTTTCTCTGGCGTCAGCTCGACGGTCTTGCTCGCGCGAAGATCCTTCCAATAAAACGCGTGCATACATTGCAAAACTCGATGGATGATTTCGCCAGGTGGCTCGCTCCAATACACGTATCGTCGATTGCACTGTGCCGTAACGGCGATTAGTTTGCGCGTCGTGCGTTCAATACGCACGCCACGTCACGGTGTAACTGGCGGACGGGAATATAATAAAGTACAGTAATGGAGCACTCGGTGGCGATACACGCGTCAATAAGCTCCCCTTTTCTTCCTCTCCAACCAGGAGACGTCTTCTCTCGCTGTTCAATTCGCGAGTGTCCCTCATTGCCCCGCTGTCGCCTCGATTCTGAGAGCAGCAATTTTCACGCTCGAAAATTGCGACAAATTAAATTTGCACACACGCGCGCGCGCGTGTATACTTTTCCCCACATGGACGCGCGCGCTTTTTGCGCGTCATTCGCGACGTTTTTCTTTTTGTCGCAAATAGAACATTCGCGATGCAACCGGCGGGGAATGTCACCGTGGCTCTTCGAGCACAGTCATCCGGCGTTATTACTCCCATTTCCCGCTCGTTATCGTGATGAAAGTGAATTATTTAGCGGCCGCTAATTAATTAGTACCATCGGGAGCACGGTTGTCTCATCGCAATATAATTTCCCAGGCCAAATAGCTCCGCGCGCGCGCGCGTTAGTGTGCCAGCTGCGTGGGATAATTGGCCGCGGATCCGCATTTCCGCCGTGTCTTCGAAACGCTTCGCTATTACATTATCGCCGCTTCTTTTTTTCTCTCATGCTCGCTCCTTTTTTTGTCGCAGTTACAACTGGTACCGACATCGATTGCGACCCGCCGCCGTTGTCGCGTTGGTACCAGAGGTACCACAGGCACAAACCTTCTCATCGCAAACTCGTTCGTAGCAGTCGCGCGCGCCGAACGATGTTCCATAACGCCAATTTTTTTGCGTGCTCCAAATTGTACCGTGGAAGTTTCGTAACAGTCGTCCCGGCTGTTCTAATTTCAATCGAACTTTCGATTCCGTGAAGCGGACGAGGATTGTATATCTCTTTGTGATTCTCTCGACACGCAGAGAAACCCAAAACGAATAGCGTTCGCGAAGCTCTCGCGCGTTGTCGTAATTCGCGATACTTCCGTAACTGCGCAATTTTTTTTACTTTGCCGTCTTCTGTTTTGTCGCTTAATAAGGGTAATCAACAGCCATGTTGTAGCCAAAACACCATGTACCGGTATGATTGTGTTGAAGGTAATAGATAACGAATTGCACATGGCATAATACGATAAAGACGTGCGCGACGTATACGCGAGTTTATCTCGTTGCAACAATTATCTGATCCGTGGAATTACCCCCATACGTGAACGCGAATATGCATATGCAAGTCACGTGTAATTACTACACGCTGGCTATCTATTTTCCTCTGTCTCTCTCTCTCTCTCTCTCTCTGCTCTCTTCTCCTATTTGCGAGAAGATCGACGTGAAACTTGCGCGTCGATTAGTCGATAGGGGAGAAATGGAACGATCTGTTTGAAATAGCATTCTCTCTTCGCGATTGATGTATGTTTCGTACGAATTAGTCATGTGCTAAGCGTCTACCGTTGGCTGTCGACCGCTCCGATTGCTCTTACAACAGCACTTTTCGTTCGCGCGAATTACCAATCGTGCGCGACGATTGGGCGCGGGTAACACGTCAGCAGGAAACGTGAAGAGATTTTTTATTCCTTAACGCTTGAAATTCCCTCGAGACTTTTATACGGGCGAGAGAAAGAGAGAGAGAGAGAGAGAGAGACGCATTATAAATTCCATTTTAATCGACACGAATCGCGCGATACGCGAGCGAAGTTAGAACAAAATTCCGGAATTCACGGAATCGTGACGAGTGTACGGGAGTGAGGCGAAGGGGCGAACGGGATCGATCTTTTGAAAGAAAGAATTCCAACTGCGTCCGCCGGACAGCCTTTTAATACCAAGTCGGGAATCCACGGCGGCGATCAGAACGCACGCACGCACGCACGCACTCACGTTCTCGCGGCAGGCGTCGAGAATCCGTAATAACCGAGACTGTTTTCTGTGTTGCAGCGTTGGTCCTTCCAGTCATGTAATACCACGAGGAGCCGGCCAAATTAGCGGAATTCAGTAGTAGTGAACGTTCCTCGACTCCGTTCCCACTCAAATCTCGTCTCGTCTGAGTCTGAGCGCGGAGACTGGGTGATGAGCTCGGGGCACAAGCGGAAGAGCGCCGTTGAAAGATGTTCCGCTCCAAGATTCGCATTCACACGTGTCAAGTGATACTGCTGACGTCGCTAGTATGGTTCCTGGTCGACGTCATGGTGCTGATGCTCTATTCGGACTGCATCGGAGGGTCCGGATGGAGCTGCTCGGATAATAAGCAACAGCAGCAACTGCAACAGGCGCTATCCGAGGAGCCGCCTCAGCGGTTTCATCCGAAAATACCGGTGAGAGAGACGTCGTCCAAGCAAGAGTCCAGCAAGAGACAATATTCGCAGTCGAGGCTGCACCTGTGGCGGCCGGCGAAGGTCATCCGCGAGAACAAAGGCAGTCCTGGCGAGATGGGGGCGGCGGTGCACATTCCGCCTGAGAATGAAGCTAAACAGCAGGAGCTGTTCAAGCTGAACCAGTTCAATCTAATGGCCAGCGACATGATTTCCTTAAATCGATCCTTAAAGGATATCAGGCTCGACGGCTGTAAGAATAAGAAATATAATAAGTATCTTCCAGACACGAGTATCGTTATAGTTTTCCATAACGAGGCATGGACCACCCTGCTAAGGACAGTCTGGTCCGTCATAAACAGATCTCCCAGATCGTTGCTGAAGGAGATCATCCTAGTGGACGATGCGAGTGAGCGCGGTACGTTTGTCATTTTTTCAGTGTCGTGAGGAGAATTGTCGGTGTCACACATATCTTCGTCATAGTGACATGTGAACGTTGATTTTCCAGAGCACTTGAAGCAAGACCTAGAGGACTACATAGCGACACTACCGGTTCCCACGTACGTGTTCCGCACCGAGAAGAGGTCGGGTCTGATAAGAGCGAGGTTGCTCGGGGCGAAGCACGTGAAAGGACAAGTTATCACGTTCCTGGACGCGCACTGCGAATGCACCGAAGGCTGGCTGGAGCCGTTACTCTCGAGAATCGCAAATGACAGGCACACCGTAGTTTGCCCGATCATAGACGTGATCAGTGACGACACTTTCGAGTACATCCCGGCCAGCGACATGACGTGGGGAGGCTTCAATTGGAAGTTAAACTTTAGATGGTACATTAACAACGTTACTAGTATCGCGAGAGCTTTTAATTGCATTATCACCGCGTTCCTTTGTCTCGAGCCGGCTTGACCTCGCGTCTTGCAAAAAAAGGAGAAACGGGCGAGAGAAATTTGTGTTGCAAATGCGAAAATTGGCTTGCATATTTTGCATGCGATGAATAGTTAGATCTATAGATAGTCGAAGCCACACGGAATACTGAATCTATTGATCCACATACCGATATATATATATATATATATATATATATATATATATATATATATATATA